GGAAAAGTATTGCAAAAACTCAATCTTTCAACATGGTATTACTGGTCAGATTAAATGCAATAAGCAAAAATCTCTCTTTTTTTTTTTTTTTTTTTTTTTTTTTTTTTTTTTTTTTTTTTTTTTTTTTTTTTTTTTTTTTTTTTTTTTTTTTTTTTCAAAATATGTAGAATTAAGAAATTCAGAACTACTAAAAAACTGCTGCTAAACAGAAATTACTACATAATTTAAAGTGAACCTAAGGAAATGAAACCAAGTTTCTTTTGTTGAGAATGAAAGGCTGTAGCCTAAAATGGGAAATATGTCTAAAGGCCAGAGCTCTAACATTAATTAGGAAAAAGAATGAATTTAATTAAAAAAGAAATTGAAAAGAAAATCAAATTATTTATTTATATTGAACAATAAATGTATATTTAAATTTCAGGTTGACATTTTAAATTTAATCTGAACCCTGTGGTTGTATTAGCTAGAAATATCAGAAAAATCAAAATCTGGTTTGATGCTCTATGTTAATACAGTACCCTAGTTTACTTCTGTATTTCGTTTAGTTGTTATTGCAGAAAAGCAGTATTTCATACAGGTATACAGAATCATATGCAAAATTGCATTTATTGTTGTGCTGACTAAATCTGGATGTTTGGTTTTCAGTCCAATCCACTTAATTATGTAGAGATTCTTTAACTTCAGATTTTAGCATCTGCCTTTCTCTCGTGACAGTTAACTGTTCTTTCTTGAGCTACAAGGTAGGCAAAAAAGCTCTTGCCGTTTTGGACAGTCAGAAAGAAAAAGTCATAAAACAAATAATAATCACCACTAATCCTCAAAGTAATTACCATTGGCATCCAATGTCTTTTGCCAGCGAGTGGCTAGCTGTACAATACAATCGTGGCAAAACTCGGGAATCTTGAACACAGAGAAGTCTGTGATGAGGGCCTTTTCGAGGTTTGGTCGGTTGTTGAATGATTTCTCATAAAGATGGCTGCCCAGGGAATGGAAAAGGTGGTATTCTGTTGGTACGAGGTTTGGGGAGTAATGTGGAAGGGGTAACATCTCCCAGTCCAGTCCTGGATGGTGTTCCTGGCTTCCCGAGCCACATGTGGCCTTGCGTTGTCATGGAGGAAGAGTACACCCTTACAATTGACCGTTGTCTCTTGATGCATCAGTGCCCGATGCACACGTTCCGACTGCTGCGAGTACATTTCTGCCATGATCGTTTGGCCCACTGGTAGGAGCTCATAGTGCACCACTTGGCAACTAGTCCATCAGATGCAGAGCATGATCTTGTGTGGGTGGAGAGAAGATCTCGCATTGTGAGGCACAGGGTCCCGTGTTGACAACCAATGTCTGTAATGCCTGGGTATGTCATACTAGACCCACTTTTCATCACTGGTGAGTACTTGATCAAATATGGATGCATTGCCATGCCGAGTAAGCAGTGAGAAACAGGCAGCAACACACTGTTGCTTGTTTGCATAGGGCAGTGAGTGGGGTATCCACTTTCTGAGCTTGTATGCCTTTTTCTATGCGGTGCAAATGGAGTATGATCATTTCATCAGATACCTGGAAGTGTGCAGCAAGCTCAGCACATATTTGGCTACTGTCAGTCTCTATGGCTGCTCTCAGGGCCTCATCTTCCAGTGCTTGTGGCCGGCTGCCGTGTGGTGCATCACTAAGAGACATATACCCTGACCTGAACTTCTGGAACCATTGCCTATTAGTTCATTTGTTAACGACATCCTCCCCAAAGGCCTGGCAAAATTCGGCAATTCTGCTGCTGAGAGGTCTACTTTAAAATCATACAGCAAACAACTCCGAATAAGCGACCTGTGACGACTCCATTTCAATCAGTCACTGTGTGAGTTATGTTTGAAGTACTGATGCAACACGCTTTTATACTAGTGGTCAATATCCGGGCTCCCTTCCTAACCACTTCATCGCCAGGTTTGGTGGGGACTATTTTTATTTTGGGGTTCACTCTTCCGATGTCATGTCAGAAACTGCAAGAACTTTTTTTGGATTACCTTGTATAATCAAAAGATGATCTATTTTCCCCTTTTCAGAAAGTGGGTTCATGACCCAAGAAACTGTATTGATACTAGGAAGATCAATAAGTTGGTTATAAAATTCAGTGTCCAAATTTTTTAAACATGTAGATAACATTTTTGTTTGACATTACTTCATTTTCAGAAGCTAAATCACATGATGGAAGGTCCCATTTCTAAATTTTCGTCATACAATTAAACATTCACAAGTGATCATGAGCTTACTTCTTTGGCATACCCCTTGTTGGATACCATGGCTGTAAGGCTTATTAATTGTGAATAAATTATATTTGCAAAAAGCTTGAGGAGGAAAGTTATTTGTGACAACTGTGAATGTGTAAATATTTACTGTAGAACTTTATACAATGCCTACTGACATCTGAAGTATCAGAGTGTGGAAGTTTTATGGGCATAAAGATTTTGATATTTGGTTTGAATATCCAGATAGATTTTGATATTTGGATTTGGAGAAATTATGAGGACTTAATGCTTCGTAATTTCTTATTCCATGAAATTTTTTCCTTAGTGTTTTTTATTAGCAGCAGAGAATGTTTCCCTCGTTTGAATTTCTTGATTAAATATATGATTTGTTTTTATACAGAATGCATAAATCCAACTGATATGCTTTTAATAATGTGTATGTTAAATATTAACCAAGTGAAGTACAGTCAAGTAGGAGCCTCTACTGCATCAGGTCAAAAGTATAGTTTAATTTATGGTACCAGCAGTCAATAATTAAAAACTTGTGCTTATAATATAGGAAGCTGTTAATACAAAACTTACAACATAAATTTATTGGCTTACCAACTGCAGTTTTAATGATATGTAGAGGATGGCATTAGGAATGGAGGTAAATCGATACTTTAGATAACAAGGGTTATTTTATGAGATCAAAATAAAACTCGACTTTAAAACTATTGTTTTCATTCTGATCTATCATTTTACTGTAGCATCTATAAATCAGTATTGTCTAAACATAAGTTGAAGACGAGAGGCTTAGAATGCATACAGGAACATTTCATGTAAAAAGAGAAACAAATATGGATTATGTGTAGTTGTAAATACATGGATATTTTTTTGGACCTTCCGACATAATTGTGTATCCATTTTATGACCTCTCAAATTATTGTCATATTCATTGAATTTTTGGAATAAGTTATTTGTAAAAGCCATAATGGAGAGTTTCCCCTTTCTGACTGTAATTCCCAAGTACGCCTGTCATTTTCATACCTAGATTTATTTATTTATTTTTTTTTTAATGTGACTTAGTCTGGCAAACCCACCAGTGGCTGAACAGTAAAACCATTCAAGTATTTTGATAAAGATAAGAAATCCTGGTTGAATTTGTTAGCTGGCTAGGAGTTTTTGTGATTTTCCTCATATGTCATATGGGTACAAGCCAGTTCCCCTTAAAAATTCCTCCACTGAAGAATGGTAGACTTGGTCATACCCCTGCCCCCCAATAAATCAATTCTATGTAATTAAAGCTTTAACCGAGTTTCACTGTAACATTTTAAGAACTTTACAAAATAAAAATCACTTTTGAATTTTTAGTTAATTAAATGCTGTCAAATGCCATTAAAATTCATAAAATAATTCTGAATTCTGTTATAAATTTTGTAGAGTGGTTTTGATAGGATTTAAAACATAGAATTAATATAGAAAATTAATTGAAAAAGCTTGAGTTAAACAGTACAAAGTCTTTAATCCGGACACGTCAGGACTGCGGTGATTCCGGATTAGGGTTTTTTTCCAGATTATAGATCATCAATTCTGGTAAGATGGCATGCAGAAATTATAAAATTAAAAATATGAAACCATAATTTATGAAATGAGAATTATGATCTAAAGGGTATCAAAATTTACAAAAGGCTTAATATTTATTTGTTTACTTTATTAAACATTTCTTTCAATGTAAGTTGTTTAAGTTGCTTCGTTTTAAGTGCTAATACTTTCTCTTTTAATTCTATAAAGACATAATTTCTTATTCAGTTACAAGTTCCGCTGTTCAAGGCCTGTAATTGCTGTGCCGAGAATACCAACTAAACTTTCAATTGAAAATTTTTTTTTATTTTTTTTTTTTTTTTTCGTTTTTCACTAACCTCTCTGTCACTTTCTTCATGCCTTTATCCATTTTTTGCAACAATTCCAGTTTTTGTTTGATGGACATCGAAACATGCTTTCACTTTGTAGGTCCTTTGGCAGCTCCAGAATCGGAAACTCTTTTTGAAATAATCAAAAGTTCAAGCTTGCTTTTTATAAAATTGCTCTAACAGTCTGCAAAAAATAATAAGCCAGATCCAATTAGAAGATTAAAGAACAACGCAATCTGCAACATTAACTGAAATAGATATTGGATAAATTTAGCTTAGCTTATACCGTCCGTTATACATTAAACGCACAAGCGTAAACATATTATGCGCATGCGTAAAGGTATTATGTGCATGCGTAAATTGTAGCATGCGCAGAAAATTTGTAGCTTTGAGATCCGGATTAAAGACTTTGTATTGTATATGTTATTATTTACAATCTTTAAAAATATCCCCAAAATATAGACTAGTAATTAAGTTTTGTATATGATTATGAAGAGTTATATGTAGATTTAAGTAATCTGCTTTCTGAGTAGTAGTTAAAGTTTTCCTGTTTTTAGTAATTTCGATTAAAATAGATTTTAACTCATTTAATTACTTACTTTCTTATTTTCAAAAAAGTAGAATTTTTCATCTTGTTTAAAACAGGTATTAAAAAATTCTCCCCTCTCCTTTTTTTTATATAAAGTATAAAAACCTGTTTAAAAAAAGGGTTAAGAGCTTAAAGAATTTATTACTCTGGTTGAAATTTAAATGTGAATGGTTCAGAGGATGAAAAGGTGTTCATGAATGTGTTAAATGTCATTCTTTATTCATTTAAAATAAAATGAATTTTTTAAATCTAATTTAAATGGCAAAATTTGTCTTATAGGTGAATTGGAAGCAGAGGGTGCAGAAGGTGAACAGGATGAATGAAGCAAAAAAGAGAAATAAAAGCTGCCACCACACAGTACAGTCCATTGCATACCTGTGTTTTGTAGCATGGGGCCACACTTTAGAATTTCTTTTGGTATTGGGTGGTGCAAAAAGCAAAGCAAGAGAGCTTAGAATAATTTTATTGCTTTATGTAAAATAATTTTTGATTCTTTATTGATACGTTTCTAATGAGTTTTTCTTTGCGCTTCTGCATGTTTTAATTTTTTGAATTTTGATATTTCAAGATTATATTTTGTATCTTTTTCTCTAAATTTTGTTATTTTAATTTATTGCTAAATAAGAAATTTGTCTGGGGTATCTGCATTTTTTTGACTCTAAAAAATTAACTGAAATGCATATTGTATTTATAAATATAACACTGATCATGGAATTATGTTTAATTCAATGATATGTTTATTGAATTTAAACTGTATATATCAAGAAAGATTAGTTTTTATGTTTTGAAAATTTTTTGCAGATTTTCTGTGGTTAAATAAGACTTTCTCTGCTTTGTGTTTTGCAGTCATTACAAATTTGAGGCATTATTTATGCAGATAAAATGTTACACTATGTAAATATTTTTAATGAAACAATTCAGTGTGAGGTCTGTGCAGCTTTGAATTACCAATAAGGAATTTACATAATGCAAATATATCGTAAATTCACATGTTACTGTCGTTAATCATTTTTGACAATAAGATCTGTTGATGCAAGACTGCAATTTTATCGCATCATATGGCCATCCAGTTCTTCATACCAGTGTTAGCACTTCACTACTGTTCTCAAGTGCTTTTCCCCCTCTATATCATAATTTTTTGTGTGGCCTGTCCATTATCATCATGAAATGGCAAGCGCATCCATTTGTGTCTAAAATGTTACATGTCTTGAATTATGTTTGGGGATTCAAGAAAACAAGGCACTTTTTGAACAGTAACATAGTTCACAATGGATGTGTTGTCAAGCATTTTAAATACTCATGAAAATACCTGCATTATCTAGCTAAACATTTTCAAACCTAAAAGACTTTGTCAGTTGAATTGGCTGTCTGTAAACATTTCTGTCAATTCTTAGTAAACTTTGTAAAATCTTTCTTATTATTTGTGGCTCATTATTTGATCTGCATTTGTATATCTCCTGCCTGCCTCATAAAACAGGTTTATGTTCATGTACTCTGCTGTGTAAGGTGAAAACAAGCTTGTATAGTGTATATAATTCTGAAGGTGAGAACTGTTAGTTTGATAACTGTAGCTGAAAAGCACTTAAACCTCTGCATAAAAAAAAATGAAAAAAGAAAAGGGTCATTCCATCTTTGCTTCCCCACCTTTCATATTTTTTACATCTTTACATCAGTTTTATGTGTTCACTTTATAGCCGTTGCTTATTATAAGTAAACAGGTCTATTGTAAAGTGTTTTAAATCATGTACAGATTGAAAGAAAAAGAAAGGAGAACTTAAAGTTAAATCTTAAGTTTTATTGCACTTTTACGTTATTGAATCATCCAGAAGTAAACATTTGCCTGTAAGATGTTTTTCTCAATTAAATGGTTTAATATAAAGCGCTCCCAATTTTATAACTTTTCTATCATTTTTTAGTGATACACTTACATTTACAAATCACACAGTTTAAAGCAAAGGTATAAATGGATTCATTTTATGAATTAGATCAAATACTAAGTAACTAATATTTGTCTGAAAAGTTATATTAAGTCAAATTAAACATTAAAAGATTCAGCCCATCTTCTAGTTGTATATTTTTTTCTATGATAATTTTGTTACGTATATGTCATCAGTGCATTCATGTAGATGGTTTCATATTGTTAATTAGTTATTTCCTCATTCATATAGACACTTGAAATTTTATATATATATATATTTTTTAGAACAGCGATATGTTTATTTGAACTGTATTTTCATTAGGGAAACACTACACTTCTTTTCGTTTTATTGTGAGTTTTAACCTTTGGCATTGAATTATTTTTTAAACTTCTTAATAAGTTTTCTTTATTTTGAATAGTGTGAGAAGTATGATTGTATAGTGAAATATGCTGTTGGTATTTTCAATTAAAGCAACTTACTCATGACAGATTTTGCCCTTAAAAGTTTAAAAAAATGTGATACATTTTGGTAACGGTTTCCTTACAAATAAAAATACATAATGATTTTTTTTAGAAAATCAATTTACTGCATGTATTTTTTCTTTGTGCTTTCAGATTTTTATTCCACGTAATTATCATAATGATTTTTTCATGGCATTAAATTGATAAATTATAAAATAAATTGATAAAGTACTGAATAGGAAAAAAGTATGAAATAGTTAAAACAGTAAACTTATTGTTTTGCATATGACATCTTCATATTTAACATGGTCCTGCATTTTTGAAAACATTTCTCAAGAGGGGAAAATTACCTTATAGGATTGTCTTATATATGTTACCATACTCCTTTAAATACTTAAGTATTAAATTTATTTTAGTACTTATGATACTTAGTAAATACTTATTTAAAAGTTGCTGAAAGAATACATTTAAAAAATTCAGTTATCATACATACTATGAGATGAAACTAAATATTTTTAACGTAAAAAGTTTTAAGTAGTATATTTTTAAAACCTTCGAATTAAAAATATAATTATGTATTCAGACTAGAATGGTATTTCTTATGGTTAGGAACAAAAGGAATAAATGCTGAACTAGTGATGGGCAACTTCGGTATATTGTACCCGGTACAAAATACCCGTTATTCAAGTAACCGTTACTTTGAAAAGTACCAAAAACCAATTTCAAGTACCGAGTACCCAAGTAACGAAATACCGGAGTAACGGTTTGCTGTACCGTAGTACCCTAGTAACGGGTTGCTGTACCGGAGTACCCTAGTAACGATTTGGAGTACCAAAGTACCCTAGTAGCGGTTTGGAGTACCGAAGTGCTGTAGTAACGATTTCTAGTACCGAAATACGCAGCTAACGATTTTGCGCTGAAGGAACTCTGCCACGTCACCCATGTTTGATTTATCTGACGGAGTAAGATTTTGAATACAGAAAACATGTCAACTACGGAAGTGTCTGAGGAGCAGACCATTCATGGACACAAGGAGCGCATACACCATTTCGCAAATACAACCAGATACTACTGTCCTCGTACCAAACCGAAGTGAGCTGAACCCTATCGCTCCTCCAGTAACGAATACCGAGAGAGAACGCATATTTTCATTACAAAGTAACGAATACCGAAAAGCAACCCGTTTCGGTACAGAAGTAACGATCCAAAAGTACCCGTTTCGGTACAGAAATAATGATACCGAAAAGTATCCGTTTTTGGTAGGAGTAACGACTCCGAAAGTGCCCGTTTCGGTACAAAAGTAACGAATACCAAAAAGTACCCATTTCGGTACAGAGTGACGAATACCGAAAAGTACCCATTTCGGTACTGAAGTAATGGGTACTTGGATGTACCGATTTTCAGTACCCGTTACAACTAAGTACTTGTTACAAAATACCCAGTTCGGTAGTACTGACTCATCACTATGCTGAACTGATTTTGATGTCTTAAAAATTTGTGCTTTGATTGATACTTTAATTTTAAAAAGAATTGTTTTATTTCTCAGTCAGATTGAAAGAATGTGATAGCTAAATAAAGATGTAACAGCACATTAATATTAGCATCACAGGTATTTTAAAACTATGTTAATTCCTTTAAAAGTGAAATCTTAAAGAAGCAGTTTGGCTGAATTGGTTAAGAGAATTAAAATATGAGCAGTAAATATCTAGATATTTGAATAATATCATAATTATGCAAAAAATGTACTTCATTGGCTTATTTACAATAAGCTATTACACAACTCGCTAAAATAAGTCAAATACATGAATATATGATGGCATAATTGCTAGCAGTTGTGCATTACGATGTATATTTTGTGCCTATTCATTTAAACTGGGTACAGGAGTGTTTAGAACTGTAATTTAGATGACCCTGAGAGTTTACAGACAAAGAATATGTAGCATCCTAAGGTAGATTAAATAACAAAAGTGGTTATCTTCTAACCGAGTGTAATAAATTTGGAGAAAATTTGCAATAAACTTTCAAATAAAACATGAAGTAAACGACATATCTTTAGTATTTAAAATTTTTTGTCTAATGTTTTTCATATTTCTCATCTCTGTGATTGGTTAGCTAATTATGACAAAGCACTTATTCCATAGATTCCTTGATGAAACAAAAGTTCCAAGACCCTTAACAGCAGAATTGGCTTTTTGAAAAGTGTTTTCTGAATTGTGTATTTGTTCTTAAAATGTAAAGGATTTTATATTTATAAAAGTTTAATAATAAGTAAGTAAGTAATCTAATTTGTACATGAAAGTAAAAATAATTACAACAAATTATTCATGCAATTCATTCGGTAATAATAAAGAGTTGCAGTAGCCTTTCACTTAACCAGAGTAAAATCCAGGATTATATATATCGTTAATCAAAGAGCAGTTAAAGCACAGCAAAGAATAATATATATTATAATTAACAGAAAAATTGTATTAACGATACTTTTCCATTATGCACGTGCCTTTTTCTTTAACAAAACACAGAATAAGTGACAATGTAAACTATTTCTAATTTAAAGTTTATAGATAGGAATGTATTACAAAGAATTTTTTCATTTTTAATTGTAAAAAAATGTAAGCTGAAATGAATGAGGATACTAAATTTGCAAATGTGAGGGTACGGTAGAGAATGTTTCTACCTTAGGGGCCATCACATGAGTTGCATTAAGTAGGAATCAAAATGTTGATGCACAGTGCCTCTTTGGCATTTATTTCGTCATTCATTACATTCAAAACATTCCCTAAATTCTGTACTTGGTCAGTAAAGTTAAATGCGTGATTCACTCTAAAGTGATCTTATCCTGCTGCTTTTAATGGGTGATTTAACCGATCTTTCCAACAGTCCCTTCCGACCTTTCCAACAGTCGGAAGATATTGTTCCATTTGCTATATTATTCTCTATTGTGTCCATTAATTCTTAGAGCAATTAGGAAGCATTCTCCTGTTTCTCAAAACAAACTTCTGAAAACTGACTATGGTAATATGTGACCTATATGTGATTTTAAGGCGAGACATCAAAGGTTTGCAACAAACTTGTCAGATAATTGTTCCAATCCAGTATTGAAACTGTCATTTACAAAAGTCATTAGAAATTGGCTCTTTTCACAAATAAATAAATTGTAGCAAGACTTGTGAGAAATAGAATGCAAGAATTCTAAACCACATTTCTTTTTAGATCTTTTTTATTCTCTGCATGACTTATGATATACCATACATATTCATTAGCATTGGCAAATATTTGACTTTCAAGGAATGTTATTTGAACCCAGTTTTTCTTTATGGATAAGATATTTATCTTGAAAGAATATAACTGCCGCTTGTTTGTTGCTCTGTGTATTCCAAGTTTTTAAATCCATTGCAATAAAATACAAAAATCGAATAATAAATTTAAAAGAAATTGTGTGAGGGAAAGTGAATCGACAATTGGTTTGGTTCCTAGGTATAGAAGAAAAGTTAATTAAAATTTCAAATGTTAAACATAGCATTTTTTTTTTTTTTTCTTTTCATTATGCTGCAACTGCCATGCTTTTGGCTGCATGGCAGATGATCTATTGACTGCCATTTTCCATCTATAAACTACTCTTATAACTAGAAATGGTTTGCAGTTAAAAAACACAACAAAATGTGTGTCAGCCATCCAAAAAGTACAGTACCATCAGTTTACCAGTATTTTCAAGCAATTTGAAGGTGAAATTTAATGGTTATGTATATTAATGTTGAAACCAAAAGCGGCGTTTTTATCTGTATTGCTCTTGTATTTCGAAAGAGTTAACCCTTTGAGGGGTGGTATATAAAATAATTTAAATTGTGGTAAAATTTTGCATGAATTGTAACTTATAGACCTTAAGAACTCAAAATTGAGACTTCAAAAAATCTAGAGCGAAATCCTGAATTTCAGAGTCAGTATACAGTAGTGGCCAAAATTGTGGACACTTTTGGAAATTTGTATGCTTATAGAAAATGTTACGTTTCACAAAATGCAAACTAGCAGTTAGGCTAGCCTAACTGCACATTTTGTGTTGCACCGATTTTTGTGGGCTGTACACAAACTCTTGCCTCACTCCGTGATTTCTTCTGAGAGGGCAGTCGCCCTGTGCTTTACACAGACAACCAATATCACGAAACAAGCGAAATCAGCGCAAAATACTATGGTGATTAGGTGCAGCTCTTCTGTATATGCGTATGAATGCATGCTGAACGCTCGTAACCGACGAACACATCGCATATTCTAACACACAAAACTTGCCCATTGCGGCCACAAGTTTGCCATCTAGCATGCATGCAAGCCCGAGGCAGGCTTTTTAAACTTTGTGAGCTTGTTTATTCTTTTCATGTATCATTCTTCTTTGTACATCATATACTTGCCAAGTGCACAGTGCTTTGAAACTGATGAATTATTTAGGCTTCTTTGTATTTTGCCAATTGCAAGAAATTTAATTATAGATCTTATTGATATAGGAAAGACATGTCTTGATATTTTAAAAGCTTGATTTAAGTATTGTTATGTGGATAAAACAACGGTAGTGTCTTTTCATCTGCAGGTCATACTTTCCAGGCCTTTCAGTAGATATCAAATGCCAATGGATCAAGATTCCTATGACGTAATAATTTCGAATCATGAAATATATTACATTTCCAATGTTAAAATTATGCTATACAATCGGTGGGTGGGGGAAGTGGAAACTATATGAGCACCCGACTTAGGATACTAGGGTTAATGAAGTTCAAAATATGTGAAAAACTGAGTAAATTTAACTGTTGCTAATGTTACGTTGAAGGGCACCGAAACTGCTTTCTGTGTGCGGGCGTGAAATTGTCTTCGTTTTCACTTCGAATATAATTTATGTATTGTATGGAGATCTCATAAAATGGCCATATAAAAACGGAAAACATAACTTTATTCCAACTTGAAAAATAGTTCTTGCGGATTACCCTTCCAGCAGAACATAGAACTAAGCTGAACATGTGAAGAACATCACTAAAATATCTCC